AATAATACCTTTAAATAAAAAATTAATATTTTTATTTAAAAACTAATAAAATTAATATTTTTAAATAAAAAAAATTTAAAATTAACATCTTTGTTTATCATTTTTTCAAAAGTTTGGTTCCTAACTTTCACTACCATTATTGGGTGCTACTATATCAAAATAGGGATTATGCTGGGGATGTCAACGAGGTCCCGCAAGGCTGGAGAGTTCGTCCCCATCCCCATCCTTGTGAATCGTGGGAACAGAGATTCCCGTAGAAATTTTTTACAAAAAATAGATTTTACCTCCATCTCCATTCCACGCAGGGAACGGGGATTCTTGTGGGGATCCATTCCTTACCAATAAATTATTTTCTTTCATGATCTTTAATTTTCTAGGCAACCCAACAAGGAAAGAGGATCAAATTTCTCAAGTTCTAACGTTACTTTTCTTTTTGTTTCTCATCACCACAAAGATTTTTAGCAACCAAATGCAACTATAGAAATAAGAGGATGAAATGAAAGCATACCGAAACTCAGATAAATGAAGCTTAGACTTACTTCTAGTATTCAAAACAGATAAAACCAACATCACTGACACCGTTGATTCAACCTTGACGCGTCAGATCTGCGAGATCCCAACAAACCGATGGCAAAATCACACTCCAAATCAACATAAGAGCTAAACATGAAGCAGCATTACAAGTGAAACCCGTTCGCCACAACCAAAGAAGGAGGACACAGGATCAGAGATAGCGTCACCAAAACTACAACTGGCAAACGACTAGGAATCAAAATCGCCATCACTTAGCTCCACCTAGAGAACTTGAGCTTGAAGAAGAAAAAGAAGAAGTAGAACTCCGACCAAAAAGGGCTTCGTAGGGTGACTGTCGACAGGAAGGGTAGAACGGCAGAAGAAGGGGAGGGGAAGCTTAGCTGTAGAAATCACAGAATAAAAGGTGACAGTGAATGAGTGATGAGAATAAGGGTTAGGGTTAAATGGGTAATAATGGGTTGGGTAAAATTGGGTTAAATTTAATTTTAATTAGATTGGGTTTGAGTTTGGGTTTAAAGTATAAATTAAATTTAAAAATAAAATAAATTTAAATATTTTTTTAATTTTTACCGGGATTGGGATCCCCGCGAGGCTCCACAAGGTGGGGAAAACTCATCGCAAAACTTCATGGGGAGAAAATACCCCTCATCCCCACCTCGCAAGGAGGAATATTTTTTCCCGCCTCGTCGTTGTGATTGCCATACCTAGATTATGCCCCCTACTTTTCACCACCCTCAAACTAGCAACATCAATTAACAAGTGGTGTGTCGATACCAAGGCTGTGACTGTTGTACCAATATATATATATATCAATTTTGTTATCAAAATGGTATGTATTAAATATTAAAATTTTTTGTACATTATTTTAGATAAATTATTGTAAATGTATATTTTTTATAAATAAATATATATAATACTATCCTATATATTAAATAGGGTATGCATTTATATATAATATAATAATAATATA